TAGTAGCATAGGCTAAGACATTCAAGCAATCTAGAGAGGCAGACCGCGTTTGCAGCATCAACGCCGTCGTCGTGGAGGGAAGCAAGGAGCGTTGGTGTGCGAATGCCGACTCAAGTGCCGAGGGTGACGTCATTCCGCTGCACGCAGGCCGCCCAGTCGACGGGGCCCGAATTTCAGGAAGTTAGCTGGCGACTTCGAGGTGGGATACCGGTCAATGGGTAAGCTAGTGACCCGCCTGGTGTCGTGAAACTTCTGTATCCCTGGAAAGGCGCGCGAAAAGCGAATTTCGCTCCCTTCCGACGGAATTTCACGACCTTCTGGGCTTACAGTGGCTTCAATCCCGGGAGTCGCGTCTGGGACTTGCGGACGACTACCATCTCCAACTGCAATATAATTTTTACTCAACGCTGCTACTACTTTCGGGATCGCTCAGTTGTGTGCTTCTGTGATATATGATGAACGATGTATACTCAGTCATCCCAATATCCAAGCACAAAGCCTTAATTTCTCTGTCCCCCAGCCCCGGGAGTGAAAAGGCACTCTCAAGTCGTCTCGGGAGTGAATTCTCTCGGGAATGAATTCTAAAAACGGTTTGATATAAAGGTTCAACTGCGAGGCTGGCTCAAGGCGCACACGCCTCTTTGCCTTGTACCACCTCAACTCTTCGCTGTTCTATATAAACCTTGACTACACTATACCATCGGCAGGATGTTCAATACTCCTATGAGATCGTACGTTCTCAATTCCCGATATAGTAAGACACACGCTGACGTGTCCCGTCACCGACAAGATTGCGTGCAACAGCCCCCCTTGCGGTGACCGTCGAGAACCCTCTATTAGCGTTCGGAAGGTCGCGGCTGAAGGACTTGAGGACCCAACACATGATGTCGCCCCCCTCTGCTAGGACCTCTGGCATTTCGTACGCGCTACGCGCGGACATGGACGCACTAAGGGAGCTTGTCAATCTCTACGAGCGTCATTTGAACGAAAATACGGCCACCGTCAACTCACTCCCTGTGGAGATCCTCCACTACATATTCCACCTCGTCGCAGAGGAAGATATACCCTGCCCACCCATTGACCAACGCGCCCGCACCGAGTTTCTTCGGGACTGGCAAGTCACGCGCATGGTCCAAGAGAGTTACGAGCCTCAGTCTCTGTGGGATCGTGGGGGGAACATTGGCTGGATACGCCTTGGACATGTGTGCGCGCATTGGTATCACGCCCTGGCCACCGCGTCGTCTTTGTGGGCAGGGGCCCTTGGATCACTCCCTTTAGCGCTCGACGCCATGATGGAACTTGCCGGGCCGGTGACACCGCTTACGTTGAGCGTCTACCGATCCACATATCGTCTTCACTCTTTGGAGGTTTTCATGCGGTTGTTCTCCGGCCAGTCTGGAGATGCGCTCGCACAACGCGTGCGCCATATTGACCTTTTCGATATGATGGGCGATACCATGGAACTCATGGACCTATACATTGATTCACACGCGTTTCCTCTCCTCGAGTCCGCCACAATACGGATCAACACGCATCTGAGCACCTTTCCTTTGGCAACCCGCCCTTCCTTTGATGCACCACACCATCGCTCCCTGAATCTTTTCGGGGTGTATCATACCTGGATGTCAGAAACCCTCACGTGTCTTGCCATCGGTGCGAATGGCATGAATCCTTTGTCTCTCGAAGACGAGCATTTTGATCTTATATTGGACCAGTCGGCATCGAAGCTCAGAGAGCTCCATCTTTTCCATTGCTTTGGCGAGGCTTCTCTTGGGAGCTTCATTGCAATCAGGACGAACGAGAAGGGGACCATCTCTTCCCGAGCGTCGCGCTCGATCTACATGCCTCACCTGGAGCTGCTCAGTTTCGGAGCTCGGATCCAAGAGGGGACCGAGGTTCATGAAGTTGACACCAGCTTGTACCAGGCTCTCTGCTTCCTGCGCACGATCGTCGTGCCGCACAACGCTCGGTTATCTTTCTCGGTCGATATCAGCGCGCCCATGATGGGACCTGCCAATTCGATTGTCGAAAGCCTGTGGCGATCTTGCTTAAAAGCGACCCCGCATCATACATATACTGGTGTATGTCTCGAAAAGGAACATCTCAACAACCCCGATCATTTCGCGCAGTTGACGCTGAAGTTGCATTCTGGCGCGTCCAGCACCCTCCCTAGTACGGGTTCCTCAGAGGCTCAAATCAGACCTCTCGCGCGCTCCCGTTCCCCATTGTCAATCACCTTCCACAGTCTCCCCGGCCCGAATGGCTATCACTCTCCAACACCTGACCCCGAATACCTGGCACCGCTAGTCAGCGTCCTTGACCCTATGCACATCACGACGTTCGAGCATCGTGGCGAGGGCGTCTATCCGGATCCGCGCGGGATGAGGCAGGAAGCTGAAGGTGGCATTGCCACGGACATGTATAGGAACCTGCTATACGCATGGCCCAATGTCCGTTCCTTCATCCTCCACGACCCTCACAGGCAATCAGAAGGTGGAATGATGGCGCCCGTCATGAGTCTGCTGTGCTCGAACATCTTCCCCGTTCTGAACACGGTTGTCCTGTATGGAGACGTCGATCTGGTATGCCTTGCGAGGCAGCTTAGCCTGCGCAAGCAGGCATTCGACACGATGAACCAGCCGTATATGAGGCTGCGGCAGTTGTCAATTCGTTCCCAGACTCGCGATCAGATGTCTGCACGGGACAATCAAGCGCTCGAGAAGTTGGGCGAGCTCGCGGACGTCGATCTGCGTTGATGACGTGGATCGAAGAGGGAGGATACGAATGCAGCGAAGGCCCATCCTACGGCCTTTGAGAAAGAATGTGACTGATTGGCTGACAAATAGATCGCTCGCTTTGTCTCGGACTGTACGAATGTAGTGTTCTCGGTTGGACTATCAGCTATACACGGGTTCTTCTCAAGTTCTCGGCCATGCGCGTACTGCACCTATACCTACTTGTCTTGATAGCAAACGCCGGCTAGATACACGAAGCTCATCTCTGTTTTCCATACGCGCACCACTACATAGACATGTTGTTCGTCTAACCATCCGTCTTCTCCGCCATAATGTCCATTTGTTGGTACTCCATCTGCGTCGTGACGTACTGCGGCATTTCCTGATTTAGCAATGCAACGCCGTACCCATTGAGATGGGCCTCGCGATCAGTCTCGCTGGGCCATGCCGCGAACAGGCCGAAGGATGTCGGGCCGGTCTGCCAGAGGTACCAGCAGTGCGTAATATCCTCGGCGTACACCGCATCGGCATATTCACCCTGGATGATGGTGGTGAGTACGTTGGTATGACAGAGGTCCGTGGAAAAGCGACATAACTTACCTTGAGGAAGCTGACGGCTTCATCGACAAGATCCGGCTGCACCTCGATATACACCATTCCGGCCTTGGTGAGTTCGAGCGTGACATTGTTGATCTTGTACGCGAGCACGTCGAACGGCAATACCGTCGCGGGCATCGTCAATATTAATAGCGGAGTGACATCGCCGATATCCGGCAAGGTAGAAACCGTCGCCGTAGATGTCGCAACGACGCCGTACAGGTCGGACGAGATGTTCTTCACGTTATCGACCGTGATGTGGAAGGCGAAGGCTTGGACTATGGATGAGTCGGACTCCAGGACCGGTTGCGCTGACTTGAAGGCGTTTTCAAGAGCTGAGGTCGAGTTCGGGAGGGCATTCATGATGATGTTCACGCCAGAGGTTGCTGTAGACGTCTCAGCATCCGCTTACGAATGGAATAGGGATGATACGCACGGACGCTGGCAGATGCAGAGGTCCGAATGGCGAGCGCCACAGACGAAAGAAGGGCCACATAGTATTTGAACATGTCAATGAGCTGTAGTGTGATGAATGAGTTTCTCGTGCGCGGGTGAGGAGCAAAGCATTACGCACGAAGACAAGGCTAGGATAGAGTATGTGCAGTAGAGATCGCTGGGCTTCTTGTATCCTTTATATCTCAGCGAGGACTCGGGCACAGGAGAGCTTGACCTGCGTCGGAGGCCTACGCCGATAGTGACAGTCATGATCTGAGCGCTTCTGAACGTCAGACTATATTGCTGGACCGGAGGTACACATTCGGTGGACGTCGACAGGACAATATACGGCATCAGTTCTGACCAGGTCGCAAAAGCGCCGCCGAACTGAAAGGGTGTAACTGTGAAGATTTGAGTGCGCAGGTCTAGACGCGCAAGCTGCGACTACAAACCACATCCTTCCGGTGCGCACATCCCTGGGTCCCCGAGTGCAGCCTCGTAAGCTGAGAGCACTGAGTCATCAGCCCATTCAGGGTGGCATCCGGTGACGATCATTTAATATGCTAGACAGGCGCCCCGCCGAATGGTAAACGAAACCATGTCATCATCCTGACATGGTGTGCCGGCGCCGCACGTCGACGCCATATGCAGCGCGAAGCCGCCGGAAGGCTAATGTCGCTTAGGAATAATTCCGGGTATCCTTGTAGGATGGTGTCGTCAATGGCGGCGTAGAGCTGAAACCGGGTAGAGAGGCATAGATCGATGGTCGGCGGTATGAGTACATGGAGGCGGAAGACGAGCGTCGTCCGGGGCGTCGAGCACTAGCAGGTCTTGACTCTTCCCACCACCATCACCATCACCGCGTCAAACGACTATGTTCACGCCAATCCCTGATACTCTAATGCGACTTATCATGTCTTGAATCTATCCCGCCAATACCGCCCGTACTACGGCGGCTCGTCCGCTGCAAAGCACAGTGTGGGTCAGCGAAGCGCAGGGCTCAGCGAAGCCAAAGCGGACGGCGTCAATAACTACTACAGGCTACATGTGAACCATCGTGCTAAGAGCGGCTCTCGAGGAGCTTGTATGCTATGCGCTGGCGGTCGAAAAGTCGCTACCTGTGGCCTATGCGCAATATGGAGTCAACGCCGGGAATTGGGACGATCGCAGCTTGGCGGCCACTACTCGCGCTCAGGCCAAGACCAACATCCATCTTTCATACCACGAGAGAAGTCAAGTCCAGAGGCACGCTGGGCTGAGGTATGCCTTCAATCCACCAACGACCCGTCGTCCATCGAAACACAAACTGATACGCTCGAAGGCGCCCGAACTCACGATCGCTGGTCTTGTCCTTGTGGAACACAGCCCATAGACGATGTCGCTCGACCTCAAACGGTGACCGACGCGCTCGGACACCAATATGAGCCTGCTCACTGGCCCGCTACTTCGCGCGTGGATGTTTGAGGAGCACACGACATGCCACGTCCGGCCCTGTCTGACCAGAGCGATCCTTCGCTGCGAGGTCATCAAACCCGATTGGATCTCGGACTGTGTCGACGCGCGCCTCGGGTAGACCTGCACTTGCTCGATTGCATCGAGGGCAACATACACCGTTATCGCCTACCGGCGAGAGCACCGCGCGGCAGCATGAACAGGATGAGCTTCCTGAATGCTCTACCGGCGCAATTCCCGTCAACCTGGAACCCAGCACGTTTGTGATATCCCAACTCGGTTGTACATCCTCTTGTCGTTGGGCTTCTGCAAGACTTCAAGCTTTAAGGGCCGGATCGGGCGCGAACGATAACCAAGTTCAGGGCGTATGCAACTCGCGCCCGGGGCTAGGATTATCGCTCCAGGGTATCTCACGTATACCGCATGGTATAGAACGCGACCGTTTTTTGCCTGCGCAGAAGGTCGCCGACGTCGGGAGCCTAGTACGGAAGGTCGTCAAGCCTGCGCCTGATTATGGAGATCGTTGCCACTCACAAGGTTCGTTCGAGTATGGACATCGTTGTCTGGGAGAGGCGTATGCACGAGGAAGCAGGACTAGTCCAATCCATTATCTACCTCATAGAACTTCGATACGTCCCATTCACTACCATCGAGTAGAATACCGAATGTTATCACCTACGCCATCTATGCACCGTATCCTTCCAACCTTTCGCGTCAGGACTTAGTTGAATAACGCTAGCTCTGCCGTTGAGTCTTGTGGACTACACTATGTGAACTACATACCGTGGCCTGTATTAGCGTTCCCTCAGGGTCCTGTGTCTGTATTGGAGACGTGATAGCGCCGGGGGCGAATTGGTCGACAGGCGTGTGAGCGAATGCATCAAGCGCCGCCGCGAGGCTTTGGGACGGCAGCCGCTTACTTTCCTCTTTGTCTCAAACCACGACCAAGCTCGCTGTTTTCTTCTATCCTGCACCTGGACAACACCAAAAGCAAACACTCACTATGTTGACCATGGACGCTTCTACACAGAGGAGTGACACCTCTGAAAACCAGCCATCATCAACTACTCAGGATCTCTTCGGCGAGCTCTGGACCAAGGCGCTCAGCGAGTACATGGCCAAGACGAAAGTAGACCCCTCGAAGCATCGCCTTGCTAAGCTCTTGAGTGGCCGGGAGTCTCCGGAGGACGTATGCGAAATTTATCAGAAGAACTTGGAGGAGTCTCGGGGCAGTAACACGAAGTGGGGCATCATCCGCAATACCTACCTGAAGCCGATTGTCGAGGTGCTGATTCTGATCAACGACTCCATGGCGGAGACGGCTGCATCATTTGTAGGCATCATCTCTCTGTCACTGCATTCCGTCGTTGAAACCATGCAGCCCGTTGTACCGGGAGGGAAAGCCATATTGGTTGCCTTCGGCGTCTTACTCGCTGTAAGCTCATCTATCGCGATCACCGTGGTATGTAATTGACACAAAGTTACTAGGCTACTAAAAGAGTATCTGAGCGGTACGAGGCACTTATATCACTACTTCTGGAAGTCAAGATCTCCGTCGAATCACTACGTCTTCGCGGCACAAGTCCGACGAGCTGGAGCAAACTTTCTCGGAACATCGCATCGCTCATCCTGGTTCACATATTAGATGTGTTTGCCCTTGCAACGAAGCTATTACCTGAAACGGGTCGCCCATTGGCACGTTTCAGTACGTCTCCTAAAGCCATGCTAACCGCTCTTCGGCTAACACTGTACCCCAGTGCACTACGGCCACAGCCTTATAGGCAACAAGGATATGCAGGAAGCTCTCCAACGTCTACGCTCGCTAGCATCTCTCGAGTCTCGGGCCCTCTCCTCTGAGATACGTGTCGATGCGGCTGAGGGTCGCAAGATAGCAAAACAGCTTCAAACGGAAGTGAACGCTATGAGGCTCGGTAAGTGCCATTTGTTAATCCCCGACACGGACTCGCATCTCATGAACACAGCTCAAACCCACGACTCGCTAAGTCTATCGATCATAGAACGAGGACTGAGTGATCAGACGTCGAAATTTGGTGAGTCCGATGTTACAATCGTCACAAAGCGTTGCTCATTACCAGTAGCCCGGGTCACAGAGAAGGCAAGCTATTGCTCTCTCTGCATTGCGTATCTCATTGCTCACGAAATTCCATAGCTTGACACATTGCTTACCGCAGAGGAGAACGCGGAAATTCGTGGTGAGCCTACTCGAGCGAGTCGAGCCTTCTCATCTTCTCAACTATCTTAGATTTACTCGAGAGACTGGATCGTGTTGGCCACGCGGATCTTAGTGCCCAACGTCGTGACGCCTGCTTGCCAGGTACTCGTGTTGAGGTTCTCGAAACCCTCCTCTCGTGGAGCGCGGATCCTGGAGCGCCGCGTATATACTGGCTACATGGCATGGCTGGTACTGGGAAATCATCTATATCACGCTCGTTTGCTCAGACGCTTCGGGAGAACGGCACTCTTGGTGGCAGCTATTTCTGTTCTCGCGAAAGTCGTGCAGAACTTGCCGACACCAATCGAATTGTGCCGACGCTCGCGGCGGCTTTAACCGGCTTTGATATTCAATACAAGGTTGCATTGTTGTCCGTACTGAAAAGGTACTCTTCTGAAGCACGCCCAAGCACGTGGAAGATAGAGTTACAGGTTGAACGCTTACTCTTTGAGCCCTTTGCTTGCTATATGCGCGCGATCTCGACGTCCCCTATGCCCATCTTGCTCATCGATGCTCTGGATGAAGCAAGCGACGATACTACTAGTGATCTTCTAGATCGTCTGACGTCCGTGTCGAGTCGACTGCCCATCAAGTTCTTCTTGACCTCTCGCCCAGAGAGGCACATTCGATGGCACTTAGACTCCTTCCAGTACGGCGACCAGCTGCGGCTTCATGACATAGAGGAGACGATAGTCGCAGCAGACATTCGTCGCTACATTGTCCACCGGCTTAATGGCATCGTTGATCGGTTTCGAAGCCGCGGGGCCGAGTTGCCTGAGGGCTGGCCTACGGAAGGCGAAACCAATTCCCTAGTCGCCCTGTCAGGATCCTTGTTTATCTATGCATTCACAGCGACGGAACATATTGGTGACCGGACTCCCGTCAAGCGGATGAAGGGTGTACTCGATGTGCGACGCGCAGGGCCGTCGAAACATACGAGCCCACTGAGGGATCTGGACCGGATATACGCGTTCATAGTGAAGGCCGCAATTGTGAACCGAACTTCGGAAGAGTTGATCTTGACCGAGCGCATTCTGGCTGCGATTTTGGTCGCTCGGGAGCCACTGAGTCTGCGGACATTAGCCAGGTTACTCAGATCTACTATTGATGAGGTTGGAAACGCTCTTGACGAGCTCCATGCAGTTGTCAGTGTGCCCGAAGATGTTGACAATGGATCTGTCTCGACGCTGCATGCTTCGTTCGGCGATTTCCTCGTGGATCGTGAGCGCGTACAGGGGCTTATGCATGTCAGCCTGGCCGACGGTCACCGCGATCTTGCCGTGGGTTGTCTCGATATTGCATTGTCCGATGATCTACATTTCAATATGAGTCAGGCACGGACATCGTTCCTCTCGAATGAAGAACAGGACATCACAGTCACCTTCGGTCGGGATGTCCAATATACCTGTAAGCAATGGATCGAGCATTCTCGACAAGCTCTCCGACCGTCTGTGGTGTTGATGAATAAGATCACCGCGTTCTTTTCATCAAAATTTCTGTTCTGGCTGGAAAGTCTCAGTGTATTGGATGTTAACCTGCTGGATATCTCTGATGCTTTAAGGCGTTGCGATGAGTGGGAGCTCCCACCAGACTCGTCGTTCCTAAAGGTCGTGGTGCGAGAAGCTTGTGATATACTGGAAATGATGACAGATGCCACACCCAAATGGAGTGCACCGCATGTCTATTTGTCACTTTTACCATTTATGTTCCTATTCCCGAACCTGGAAAAGGCTCATAGAGCTTCCTACTCGCTGACTGCCTCCCCCAACTTCCAATGGATCGACGAGAAGATCGCTGAGGAAGGGTATCGACTCGTCGCATGTTCTCACGACGAGGGATACATTGCGGCGGTCTCGGGAGACTGCGATATCTACGTCTGGAGCCTGCCCGGCGGAGAACTGCAAAGACGGCCTGATACTTCACACGACTGCCCTGGCCGCTTCGTCACAATCACGTTCTCTCCTGACAACACCTCCATTTGGGCCGCATCGTGGGATGGCATAGTACGGATATGGGAACGTGCCACTGGTCGATACCTCAGCCGATGGGAAGGGAAGGCAACCAGTCCTCTTGCCATGGCTTTCTCTTCGGATGGACGATATCTTGCTATTGCGGAGGCGCTCGAGAATAAGAGAAATTCCAATTGGTGTATATATCTTTGGGAACTTCCAATCTCGGGCGGCACGCTTATGCACCTCAAGGTTAAACTTCAAGGGCCCGTAGGCAGCAGGCTTTCATTCCGTCTGCTTGGATTCTCCCCTTCCAACACCCGCATTGTGGTCGGTACGAGTTTCTCGGCTTTTTATGGATGGGATATAGTAACCAGCGAGCTCTGCCTGCAAAGCAGGCCGGAAATATCGCCAGACAAGAAATTTTCTTCGCGCATACTGGCGCTCAACTTCCTATCTGACCAAGAGGTCTTGTTTGGATCGCAGAAGGATGGGAAATTACGCATCCTTGATATGAGCACCTATCAGCCTAATTCCCATCCGGAGTTGTTTCTCGGTTACAGGCCTGAGAACCGTCTTATACCAGGTGCTATCGCTTCATACAGAGGTCCTGATGGCATATTCATAGCCACTGCGTTGGGCCGCGACATTTATCTCCGGAGTATTGGCACGGGAGACAGCACTAGACCTTATCTTCAGGGTCATGTCGGCCACTTCGATTTCATTTCTATCTCGAGCGATGGAAATTACATGATCTCGGGTGCAAGTTCGGGACATACCGATGGTATCTTGGAATATAGTCAGCTTGACCACACCATCGTTGTCTGGGACATAGATCCAAACTCAGAGCGATGCAGATCAGGTTAGTGACAAACTTCGACCTGCCTCTAGTATCCACTACTGAAGCTCTATCGCAGCCATGAACAACGACTTTGATCACTTCTATTTCCCTGATCACGACTCTGGATGGCTGCAAGGGCCAAATAAAGAGCTTCTGCTTTACATCCCGGAGCAGTACTGTCAATATCTCCAGCATCCACCCATGATCCATCGCTTCGCCGCCGGCCGGCTCACCATCGACTGGACGGATGCCGCGTATGGCGAAGATTGGACGAAGTGCTATATCGGGCCGAAGTGAGCGTGTGGTGCCGCGCGGGATGCGGGTTAGTCAAGGGTCGGAGAGACAGTAGGGCAGCGTTGGGGGCATTTTGGCTGGTGTATCAGGATGCCTGTATGCTAGGAAGAGAGAAACGAGCTTAGTATTTCATCGGTTTGAGCAGCGGCCTACGGGAGTGATGCGTGTGTAGAAGCAGGAAGTAGTGTCCATGAGCAGTCAAGAACAATCGGAGAGCAACGCATCGTGATTCATCACGTCCCCACGCATGATGGATCGCGGCCTGTTCCAACGTCGCGCGTTCAATCATGATCAACACGGTGTTCACGGCGCCGGAGCGGCCACATCGCGCGGCGCATGAGTAACCTGCGCCGCGTACTCATGTCAGCCATGCACCAAATATGGTACTGCTATACTCACGCTGCTATACGCATGGACATCCATCTCCTGGATCGTTCTCGTGAATAGGATGGTGGTGGTCGCGATTGAACAAAGCCGCGGCGCGCGTCGACGCGTTTGAACACCGCGCGTCTGGTCACGGCAGTCACAGCGCGCCTCCACCAGGCGCCGCGAGCGAAGTAACCGGTATCTGGGGGGGTATTCGTGCTGCTAGATCGGGTCTAATGCGAGTAAGGAAGTGGTAGCGATGGATATAGTAGGCATGCAGGATACATATGCTACGACAAGCTCAACGCGCGCAGTGCTCGACAACTTAGCAATGCTGTAAACTTTATAGTACATTCCGAAACACCAGTCCGCGGACAAGTACGCTCTCGCCCTGCACAGTCAGACCTAAAATCCATCATCCGGTATCACCCAACCCCAACTTAATACTCAGCGACAGCCATAAGCGGTACATCGATCCCCACCCGTCCCTCCTCCGATCTTAGCGCCTTCGTCCCATCCCGTCGACGCAGGCATCTTGAACCCTATATTCGGCTTTCCGATCTTCGGCGCGGCCTGGATTCATGATCAGCATAGCACACAGCAGTTTGACAGGGATAGAAGGGGCGTACCTTTCCAACTTCCTCACCGCCTGGGCCTCGCCCTCACCCCTTTCCTTTACATCCGCTCTCCATCGATATGCTTGTGACCTCCTCTCAGTCGACATCGCTCCAGACCAAGTCAAACAGCGCGTGTTTAACCACTTCGCGACGTGCGAAGCTCTCTCACACGGGACTTTGAGGCAGGAGCGAGCAGGCGCGGCTGGGCGTTCGACGGTGGTAAGGGAGAGGATGCTGGGCCGAGGTGCAGGTGGTAGTGGCGGGTTGGACGAACGGGAGTGATATGTCGCTGAAATGTAGCAGGGCTGGTGGAGGTGCACCAGTGCACCAGTCCCGACGGCCGCCGCCAAGCCAGCCCCAACCTTGAGGGGCGACCAACGCCGACCCGGTGTTCTTGATAGCTGAGGCGGTGGGGTGTTTTGCATAGGCCGACAAAGAGGGTGCTGAGGCGGTGATGGGTCCGGGATGTATTGAGGTCGACTATTGAGAGGTGGGTGAATGAAGAGGATACGTCTCCGATTTGTGGTGCGAATGCGCCAGGCGCCAGCGCTACAAGGAGTGAAGCATACTCGGCAGCGACGAACGCGCTAGCCTCGATCACGAAAGGCTCGTCGGCCCAGTAGTCTCGAGCTCTGCTCGGAGAAAGCCTTCGGCGGCCATCGAGTCCCTTAGACGCTGGTGGTGTACCATGCTCCGGCGCCGGCGCGTCTTGACCTTGATGGGCAGAAGCGCGGATGATCGTGTCAGAATCGCAAGCAGAATAACGTTTGCCGTCTGTACATGGACTCCTGCCGCCGTCGAGTCCTCCTTTGCGGGGCCAGCGCAGACACGTCTTGTTCTTGAGCCGGACGTGCCTTTAAGTAGCATGGGCACGCGGGCGACGAGCCAAACATCGTCAGGAACGCGCGTTGGCAAACTACTGCTTCTGATAAAGCGCCGTGCCTCAATCTACGCGACCTTGGATGATGTTTCGTCCTGGTTTGGAGGCGCATCGAGGTCGATGGGGTTAATGGTGGAGGTGGAGGTGGAAGGGTGGGCGATTTGGTCGTCGTCTCTGGCGCGGCAACCTCGTCATTTGGCAGCTTGGGCGCTATGGATGCAGAAGCCCTACGCGCCCCATTAAAACACGCAAGACAGTCAGAGAACAGTCAAAGATGGCTCACCTCCTTCTCATCCCCCCATCCAAGCGGCACATTGTAGCCTTTGCTTCCTCGACCCGATCGTGCCCGTTGAAGACACCTATGCGGTCAGAGTGCGGCTCTTGTCCTGCTCGTCTGCTCATCTGCCCGTCTCTTCACCGCACTCTCCACGTTTGATAGTGCCATGACTACGGAGTGTATTGAGGCATACAGGGTTGGGCGACAATGTGCAGTGCGCTCCAAAAGTAGTGGCCTCGCCTACGTTCGAGTTCGTGAATGCCACGGATAGTATCGAAGAGCCAAATCGCCCGTTGGAATGACTGTCATATGCAGAGAGTTCTCGAGCATGGCCGGTATGCGACGAGGCTCTGGCGGTGGTCCTTGAAGTAAGCGCCACATGCCGTTCGCGAGACGGCCTTACTTAGCTCGGCTTTACGGTCCGTATCCCCGATGCAAGGCGCGCGAGATTCGTGCTTTGCTCACGGCGTATTCGCAGAGGTGACGGCCTTATGAGGTGTACGACTACACTCGCCAAATGCAATTGAAGTAACACGACGAGCATATGCATGACTTCCACAGACTGTAGCGTATAGTACAAAGGCCTCAATTCGCGTACGCGGGTGGAGGCCCAGGCTCTCCCTGGCGACCCAACAGATGATACAGGCGCCCAACAAGGCCCGGTATCTCGGCGAGAGCGTCCGGCTCCGCGTGCGCTACACTTCGTACTGTGCCGTCCTCGCCCTGCACATCTTCAAGCCTCCTTGCCGCTGGAGCCCGCTCGCCATCACCGCTCTCATCGGGCCGAAGCGTACTAGTAGCATCGCTTCGATCTCGTCGGTGAGGCTCGTAAATGCTTTGCCATTTCGAAGACACCTGGCTTGCAGGGACGGACTGAGTGAATGGATCAATACCGCGAGTAGCGCTACCATCGAGGCCGGGATGGGTCGACGAGAATGCCGCGTTCGCCGTGTGATCGATCGCCGCTCGCTTCCGACGGCGATGATGCCAGACCAAGAAAGCAGCGATGGCAATCGCGAGAACGCCGGCCACGGTTCCGCCCGCTATAGCACCTGTATCTCGCGATCTGTCCTGTGCGGATGGCCTAGCAGTTGAACCGCCTGTAGGCCCACTAGCGGGGCCGGTAGACGAGCTATTCGAGTTCCCGGGTCGTCGATCAGACGTTGAACGTTGAACTCCCAGGGCACGAGTGAAGCGGCTGACCTATTCGGCGACGCGAAACTAAAAGCAGCGTTTAGGACATCTACAGCAGCGACGTTCCCCCCGGCATTGAGCGATCTAGCCGGTCAGCGAGTCGGATCAGGGCAGATACAGGTGAGCGATACGGTCTACGTACGTGGGAGGTGGACCGACCGTCCACGACGGAGCGTACAGGTCGCTCGTATTCGACGTCGAGCCATGGGCGTGAGCTAGGAGCGCATTAAACTACACACATCCATTCATTCTCAGCGCCTTCGCCTTTGGAACTTGACACCAGATCACTCGCCTGGATCATGATGTACGCCTCTATATACTGCGCAAGATCCGTGCCCGGGTTCCGCGCACGAGCCTCCGCGAGCGCACGGATGAAAACGCCCTTGAGGTCCAAGGGCCATCCATCCGACAGTGTAGTGCTGGACTCTGCGAGCGTGTGAGTGGTACTGCATGGATATATAGAGATCGCGGATGCTTGCCAGATATGACGGAGCTGCCCGCCAATGACCATCCAGGGAACGTGGTAACGTTGTATACGACGTCTTCCAGGCTGATGAAGAATGAGTGTTGAAGGAGAACGAGGGGACGAGGATGCACGTGCAATGCCGTAAAGGTCGCATTGTGGGTCACATTCGCTAAGATCGCTAGACCTTGATACGGGGTAAGAATTAGCGTGGCCGAAGGAGACTCTGACGGGACTTCACCTTCGATGAAGCCGGCCTGATCGAGAGGTAAGGGGGTTGCATCCGGTACCGTGCATGTGTTCAAGGTTAGTGTCTGGACAACGAGAGTCCCGTTCCACATATGATGCAGTATGAAGTCCATGGAGAGCTGCGCGGCGTCGAGGTATGCGGTGTTCTGTGTCTCTTCATAGAGGTATGCTGACATCCTGGAAATGAATGTCACCTGTGTAGAAGCATGAAATAGATCATGCAGAGACGTACGCCATGAACGGGCCTACGCACGTGGCGCATACATCCAAACCTCCCACCATATTGGGGTCGTTGGTCTTTGAACAGAGTTACTCTCGTGAGAAAAGCTGGGACGAGAGATGACTCTCACCTCAAAGACGCCGCCCGCAAATGTGCCTATCTATGCATCAATGAATGACCGGCGCACGTCCGACGCGAAAGGGTACTGCACCGTCTGTACAGTTCGCCGGAGGAACGAAGGACACATTACGCCCCACTCCCGAGCCGCTCGCCGCTGCGCTAGGCGTGATAAAACACGTCTCATTCGTACGGTTATATATCTGCACAGCAGTGTCAAGCAGAAACGGCTGCTTATATGTCCTGTACGCGTAGTAGAACGTCAAAGCCCATGCGTTAGCATCACCCGTTAGCCCGGTATCTTCGCGAACCCCATAGATGCCAAAGTCCTTATTGAACTCCTGCATGAGCGTGGTCACTGGTTCGATCCACGTGCCGTTTCCGCTGTAGTAGTCCTGTATGGCCATCCCGGCGAAGACGCTTGAGATCAATTGCACTTGAGGTATCCCTGCAGCACATGCGAGTTCGGAAGCGTGTACATTCGGTGGAAAACGGCTCCCTTACAGTCGGGTGCGCGGGGTTGCGACGGGTCGAGCCGCTCAATATCGATTGCCGCGGCTGCACCCGACGCGAGGGCTTCACGCGCGGTTCTGCTGAGATTTGAGGTGCTGGTCTGGTTCTATCCGTGGACGTCAGTAGACCTCAATGAAGCGGGCAATACTAGTCCTACGCACTGTCCACGTGGAAGGCGGCCTGATGGCCATGGCTGTGTGCGCGGTCGCCGCCCAGAGCCACAAGAACAGAGCAGTAAATGGGTGTCGTATGAAAATATGAGAGACCATAGGGTTCTCGGTGAGTCGAGGGACCAGCCGCCAGAAAGATAGCCGGTGGAAACGAGGCAGTCGTGTATGAGGCTCCATGCATCACTGCCTTATGAAGTCGCGCCTGCGGATACACACGTCGTTACCATTCACACCACTGGCAGCTCAACAGCAACAGCATTGCAGAAAAAGGAACCCTTCACAGCACGAGTTCGCCACTATCTGCAATGCAAAGGACCGTTTAGGCGGGCGTGCATACCCTCTCGACTGCCCTTTTACTGCACTCGGACGACAGACGGTCACTTTGACACGTAGTGGCGCGCGCGACGGATCATCATATGATAGTTGCGTCGAGGAGTCGTAGCAGTGCCGTGATCATAGCAATCGTTCCTTCTCGGGTGAAACATAGCTTTCGCCGATTTGACTGGTCAGCGACGGAGCTTTGGTGGTGGTCGGGTGTAAGCCTCGCGAATCGCGGCGTGGCGCGCGGTACGGCATTACGGGCCGCAGTTCCGAGCAAGATGCGCGCGAAACGATTTGGACGTGCAGAGCTGCTCTACAGACGCGTCCAGGGGAGAAGTTCTGAAGAGAGCTCTCCCGTTTGCTCAGGAAAGCCCAAGAAGCAGGCGCGATCCGCGCTCACAGATATCATTTTCGACCTGTTCGGTGATGCGATCGCGTCTCGCGCGCCTTCGGCGCGCTCGTATCTACTCGTGTAGACAAGTAGATACTCTCATGCATGTGGCTTAAGTGCGTGAGCTTGCTCATACACGCAAACGTGTAGCCAGACTGGTCGACGAGGTACGTAGAACAGTACCAGCTGCTTGTTCGTGTTGGGTTGGGTTGAGGTTGGTTTGAGCCGGCGGAGCCCGAAACGCGGTCACCTGACCTGTTTGCTCTCGACGCGCCGCACGAACCTCCCCCACATCTGGGGCGTTGTGCGCGCGCGTTGGACCCGCCGACTCGGACTGCTCGGCGAGGCAAAGCCGGAAAACCAGCCGCAAAGCGTCACTCGTTTCCTAAGAATAGAAAAGGGAGGTGGGACATAGAAAATCGACGAATCGGGGGGATCGTCGATGCGAGAACGAAAAGGGCGCTCGGCTTTCCCCAAGGCCGCGTCGATTCTTTGGCCGCTGACATGAGGCTAGCAACCCTAGCCCTAACGAGACACTTCTCAGGACGCGGCCTCTCTCGCGGCAACTCCCAACTCTCTCAGACTTCCCTTGGACTCCCAAATGCATACGCTCGTGCCTCGCTTCTGCGTGCGTACAAACAAAATGAATGCATGAAGCGGTCTGTGGGTCTCCCACTGCGCCAGACCACGTACCGTGGGCAGTAGAACTCGGGAGCGTAGCTCATGACAAGAAGAAAATAGAGTACCGGCACTGCTATGAATAAACTACTAATTGCATCAAATATCGTATTTTTATTGAAAGCAAGGAGGTATCGGATGAATACGGGGGGTCGAGACAAGACGTTCTCGAGGTCAAAATACGGTACCGTACTGGCGCCGACGGACGCGCCGGTCTCGACTGCGAGCGGCGCGTCAACCGTGTAGTCTTGATCTCGACTCGTAGAGGTCATTCGGCCTCCATAGCGTCGTCAGTCGCTGGTGGCGTACCATGCGCCGGCCCTCGCTAGGTGCGCGTCGAAAGTACATATGACAATCCATTGCGACAGGTGCCATATACAGCGCTACGATCCCGCCGTCGAGGCCTTCTTTGCAAGCGCCGGCACCGACGTACTTCGCTGTTGAGCTGGGCGTGCCTTTGGAGAGGATATGCGCGCTCTACCTTCTCCACCTAGCCACTCGCGCGTCGGCGAGCTATGGCTTTTGATAAAGCGCCGTATGTCAACATGCGTGTTCGCAGATGATGCTTCGTGTTGAGGTGGGGGAGGAAGCGTGTGGAGGTTGAGCGACGCTGCGAGGTGAGGGTGGAGGTGGAGGGGTGGGCGAGCTGGGCGTCGTCTCTAGCGCGACGAGCTCGTCGATTGTAGAGAGCGATCAAAGATGGCTCACCTCCTCGACCTCCGTGCCCGCGACCGCAGACGCGCCGACCTTGGAAACGGACAACCTCCTCCGCTCAAGCGGCACACCACAGCCTCTCAGCCTATGTACTCTCTGTCTGCTTCGTCAAGCCGATCGCGTTGACATAGAACCCCGTGTACGAACCCTCCGTGAACGTAGGGGTGCAGCGTAAAGGCCGCGGGGAGTGGACGCGCGGGTTCAAGTTGGCATCCGCGATAGGTCGTATAGAAGACTGTTATCGTTCGTAGACAGGCAGCGTCGTTCGGACTTGGGGAAGTGTCGTCGAGAGCATGGCTTGCGCCAAACACGATGCGACGGCGCTCTGGTGGTGGTCCAGTGCAAGTGCGCGCAACGCGAGCGCGGCCGCGCGTGAGATTTGTGGCGCGCGCGGTCGGCAACTTCTCTCGAGGAGGTCAACTGCAGTTGGCGGGAACAAACACGACAAACGTCGTGAACCTGGTAGGAGAGTCACACCATACCGCTCAGGCCTGTATGGACGTTATGCGTAAGAATTGTGGAGGATGTACACGCTGCAGCATATCCTACGCTTCCGCGTCGTCGGCAGCCGGATCTGGCGGGTGGCCAGGCTACACGTCTACAGGTACGCCATTTAGCCTTTTCGCGACGGGCTGTGCAGCGGTGAACATGCTTGGCAGCAGTACCGATCCTCGTGAGGAGCGGGCACGATAGCGAGTGCTGCGCTGTCGGGCGTGTTGGCGCTCCGACAGAAGGGCAGGAACTCGGAGTAGATGTGCGATGTATATATCGGTGTAGACTATCATAGACCGAGCGAGCCCAATACTACCAGGAGTATAAGACGCTAGTCACTCGCTCTGAGTACAGCACCCATCACCACCCAGTTCACGCGTGAACGCGTCAACAACGGGTTCACCGCCGTCCCGCGCGCGTTCAGGTTCACCACGGCTCTTCTTCTCCCCCCGCAACGCGCTCCGACGATCCCGCCTCAGCGGGTCCCCTACCATCGACGTCATGTCCCTGTACAAAGCCTAAACATCTCGTAACGCGGCATGTACACCATCGGCCGCTGGAAGCGAACGCGCCCAACAGCGCCCAATTGCAACGTGATGTCGGCCGACAAGCTGTATTACCCCGCAATAAGACGGGCGCGCTCCTCCACCGTGTCCACGCACACCGCTCAACTCCGGACTTCCATCGCTGAGCCATCGCTGGGATGTCAATCAAAACAGCCACGGCCGTAGAGCCGTTCTCATACGAGCTCGACAGCCTCCCAGCCACGGGGCCGACGACTGCCGCGCCGAGTCGCGTAGCTTCGACAGACCGCGTCGCGCTCGAGCTTGATCATGAGAGCGAGTCGCAGCGCGAAGAGGAGGCTGTTGCGCTTCCGCCTGTCGATGGAGGCGTGCGCGCTTGGACGTTTGTCTTTTGCGCTTTCATGTACGTCGCGTCCTACATATCATATGAGGTTCGAACGGATACTGACTCGGCGTGTAGACTGGAGACGCTCGTCTGGGGTTTCCCTTTCTCGTGCGCCCTTCCTTCCTCTCTCAACGCAGTCCACCGACATCCTTCTCCATCATGCGTAAAGTTACGGCGTCTTCCAAGAATACTACCTCTCCTCCCCCACCTCGCCCTTCCTCGGCGCCTCCGAATCCGCCATAAACGCCATCGGCACCATCACGCTCGGCATCCAGTACATGGAGGGCCTGGCCGTCATGTTCCTCACGCAGAAGTACCCGCGCTGGACGAAGCCGATGATGGTTATGAGTTTGGCGACGTGCGTGGGCGCGCTCGTGCTGTCGAGCTTCGCGAGCAGGGTGTGGCATTTGATTTTGCTGCAGGGGGTCGTGTATGGCGTTGCGGGGGGCGCGCTGTATATGCCGATCGTGGGATGGGTGCGTGCATATCGTCCAAGTAGTCAGATCGCAACTCATTGCTAGTCATAGTTGAACGAATGGTTCGTCGAGGTACGCTTCTGCCTCTTCCTACGGAACCTCTACACTCCACTAACAATCTCCACCACATCTAGCGCCGCTCCCTCGCCGGCTCCTTCATCTTCGGCGGCAGCGGCCTCGGCGGCGCGTCCTTCCCCATCCTCGCCAACGCGCTGCTCCAGCACATCGGCTTCCGCTGGACGCTGCGCATCATGGCCGCGCTCGTCGGCATCTTGGGCGGGCTCGCGCTGCTCGGCGCGAACCCGCGCCTGCCCGTCGCGCGGCGCGCGGCGCCGGCGCCGTGGGACTTTTCGTTCGTGAGGCAGCCGGTGTTTCTGTTCGTCGTGCGTCGTCCCTCCCCTGCCCTCGAGTTGCGATGAGCTAATCATGGTGTGAAGGCGGCGACGATCTTCATCCAAGGCCTCTCCTACTTCCCCGTCTCGCTCTACATCCCCTCCTACGCCGCCTCGCTCGGCTTCTCCTCCCTCAACGGCACTTTGGCGCTCGCGGCGTTCAACCTCTCGACCGTGCTCGGCCAGGTCGTGTTCGGGTACTACTGCGACCGCGGGCCGTACACGACCGCGATGATCGGCTCGGCGGTGCTGTCGAGTGTTTTCGCGTTCGTGCTGTGGGGGTTTGCGCGGAGTCTGGTGCTGATTTATGTGTTTGCGGTGATGTTTGGGAGTATCGTGCGTGCTCTTCTCCTTCTCTCACGACTATGAATCATAATTATACTGAATGGATGTGGATTAGAGCGGGGGCTTCAGCTCGATCTTCCCGCCCGCCGCCGCGGACGTCTCCAGTACGCCCCCTCTCTCTTCCCTCTTCCCATATACCTCTGTCGCTACATAACACTGATCGCATCTCAAACGCAGGCACCCAAGCGATCGCGCCCTTCATGCTCTTCGCCTGCGCAAAGGGTCTAGCAGCCATAACCGGGCCCTTCATCGCCGCCGCGCTGCACCCGAAGAGCGCGTCTTTGCATCCGGTCGCGAATGCGGGCGGGTGGTCGGGGTATGGATTTACCGGTGCGTTCTCTCTCCCCCTCTTTTTACTGTCTCTCTCTCGCGCTTCTGATACCCGATGTGTTATTTGAAATTGGGTGTTGGTGGGCGTGTGCTGATGCGTTTATTGGTGCAGCAATGACGATCTTCGTGGGGAGCGGGATGGTCGCGACTGCTGCGCTGTCGGGGGGCGTGGTCGCGTTTCGGAGGCGGAATATGAAGGCCGAGTAGAATTCGAGTGTATATAGTAGTGAGATGTACAGTACCTATCTACACGCCGTCCAAAGATACTCGAAAATTACGCGTGCTACAATACAGTAAATTCGGCCGATGCAAGCTCAGGATCCCGCATCAGTGAGTATAGCCTTCTCAAAGACCGCGTACGCTTCTTCGCAGGGACGCGTACGGGCAGTGTCGTAGGTAGAGCTTGGCAGGACTGTTGTGAGTGGATGTTCGATCTCGACGGTTGCAGTCGTCGAATGGTCACGGGACAGTATATCGAGGGCTGCGTCGACTTGATCGGAGCTGCAAGCAGACTCGGATGTGTGAGTACGGGGCTGAGGTTGAACAGGTGTGGATGGTCTTAGATGTGGCGTTTCTGTCATGATGCGGAGCGACAGCAATAAAAGCTTTAGGAGATGAGAGCAGACAGCTGGCGTCCGAGCGATGCTGTTCTCGCGATGGAACTTGCTCGTCCAGCCCGCGGAATATTAAATAACTCAGACTTTCTGAATCGCCGATCGGCTTCTCGGCCCGACGTCCCCGCCCGACCAAACAGGACCAAACGCTACTCAATGCCTCAAGCGCCGCGGCGTGCTTTCCTCTTTGCGTCAAACCACGACCATCGTCATCATCGCTCCAAGTCAATCTACTTTGTTACCAGATATCCATCATGTCGGCCACAGCAGGCGGTGGCTTCGAAACTCATAAGTCACTACCGATGGATCAATTCGAACAGCTATGGTCTCAGGCCCTCAGCGACTACACCAAGAAGACTAAGATCGACCTCTCGAAGCACCCGTTGGCGAAAGACCTGGCTATGCTCACCTCTCCCGAAGCTATTTGTGACGTCTTTCAAGAGAAGATGAAGCGATACCGGAAAGAGGACACGAAGTGGGGCAGGATCCGCAACGACTATGTGAAGCCGATTGTCAACGCCTTGCTGATAGTCAACGAGACTTTGGGGGAGACGGCTGGCAACTTTGTACGTGACTGCGTTTCCTAGTGCTTGTACAGTGAGCTGACTACGCGAATGTAGTCCGTAATCCCAGGCGGCAAAGTGCTCTTCGTTGCCTTCGGGGCTGTCCTTCTCGTACGTGTATGGGAGATGTCAGCCTCGATAGCCGCTGACAAGTGCGTTAGGCTACGAAGGGGGTCTCGGAACGATACGATGCATTGTTAGATCTCCTGGACGAGATCAAAATATTTTTCGAATCCTTGCGCCTTCGCACCACGAGCCCTGCGAGCTGGCGTAACAAACTGTCTCGAAACATCGCGTCTCTGATCCTGGCGCACATCCTTGACGCTTTCGCCCTTGCTACAAGTTTCATATCATCTACCAACCGCTCGTGTGCGCGTCTACGTGGGTACCCTTGCGTGCGAGTTATCCGTTATTGGCTAACGGTTATGCTCCACAGTACATCTCGGTCATAGCCTTACCGGCACCAAGGACATGCAGGAAGCTCTGAAACGCTTGCGCTTGCTCACAACTCTGGAGTCCCAGGCGATATCATCAGAAACGCGTGTAGACGTTGCCGAGTGTCGTGGCATCGCGGCGCAGCTTCGACAAGAGTTGGGCAAGATGAAGACGGGTAAGCCGTCACTTGCTCTCTAACGTATCCTGTGGCTCAATGAGCCAGTACAAGCACTCGACTCTCTGTCCTTGAAGATCGTAGAGCGTAGCGTCGGGGATGTATTGTCTAAACTCGGTGAGTGTGGTCTCCATCTTGCAGCTCACGATGCCTTGCTGACTATTGTAGTCATCGTCGCAAACGAGGTACCTCGAAGCCATTCCCACGGTTGGACGTACTAATTTCCCTTCATAGCTCCACGAGGCGGCGCTCAGCATCGAAGAGAAAGCGGAGGCTCGCGGTGAGTTAGCTTTTGCGATATCTACCGGGTAGTTCACTGACATGCTCTAGATCTGCTGGGAAGACTGGACCGTGTAGGCTTTGCGGACTTAATATCTCAGCGGCGCAGCGGATGCTTGCCAGGAACTCGCGTCGCAGTCCTTGATACCCTCTTCTCCTGGAGCAACGATGCTGATGCGCCACGCATATACTGGCTGAATGGCATGGCTGGCACTGGGAAGTCGGCGATAGCGCGTTCATTCGCTCAGAGGCTTCGGGATAACGGCACTCTCGGCGGCAGCTACTTTTGCTCTCGTGAAAGTCATCCTGAACTCGCTGACGCCAACCGGATCGTGCCGACTCTTGCCGCGGCACTGGCTGGGTTCGATGTCCAATACAAGGTCGCGCTCTTATCCGTATTGAAACGATACTCCTCCGATGCGCATCCGAGTACCTGGGTGATCAAGCTGCAGGTCAAAAGGCTATTCTTCGAACCGTACTCGTGTTATATGCGCGAGGTCTCGACGTCCCCTATGCCTATCTTGGTCATTGATGCCTTGGATGAAGCGAGCGACGATACTGTCGGCGATCTTTTGGATAGCTTGACATCTGTGTCAAGGCGGCTGCCTATCAAGTTCTTTCTTACCTCTCGCCCAGAAAGGCACATCCGATGGCGCTTGGACTCCTTTCAGTACGGCAACCATCTACGGCTCCATGACGTAGAGGAGACGATAGTCACGGCAGACATTCGCCTCTACATCAAGCACCGGCTTAACGCTATCGTTGATCGGTTTCGAGGAAGGGCTGCGTTCCCCGAGGATTGGCCGACCAGGCAAGACACGGAATCTCTCGTCTCCTTGTCAGGATCGCTGTTCATCTATGCGTTCACCACGACCGAACACATCGGTGACCGCAATCCCGTGAAGCGGATGCAGGATGTGCTCAACGTCCGGCGTCGATTATGGACGGCCGCGAATCCCTTGAATGACCTGGACCGCATATACACGTTCATACTGAACGCCGCGACTGCGGATCGTACTTTGGAAGAGCTGCTCTTGACGAAGCGCACTCTTGCTGCGATCTTGGCCGCTCGAGAGCTTCTGAGCCTCCGCACATTAGCCAGGCTACTAGGATCTGCTGTTGACGAGATTAGAGATGCTCTCGACGAGCTCCATGCAGTCGTCAATGTGCCCGAAGATGCTGACCATGGATCTGTGTCGACGCTGCATGCTTCGTTCGGCGATTTCCTCACGGATCGTGAGCGCGTACAAGGCCTTATGCATGTCAACCTGGTAAATGGTCACCGCGATCTTGCCATAGGTTGTCTCGATGTTGCGCTGTCCGACGATCTCCATTTCAATATGAGTCGAGCACGAACATCATTCCTGTCAAATGAAGAACAGGGCATCACCGTCACCTTTGGTCACGATGTCCAATACGTTTGCAAGCAATGGGTTCACCATTCTCGCTCAGTCACTCGGCCATCCGCGGCGTTCTTGAATCAGGTTGCTGCATTTCTGTCGACCAAATTTCTATTCTGGCTGGAAGGCCTCAGTGCATTAGATGTGGACCTAGAAGTGATCTCCGAGTCCTCGAAGAGTTACGATGATTGGGAGCTCCCACAAGGCACGTCCTTTCCAAAGGTCATGGTCCAAGAAGCTTGCGATATACTGGACATGATGGGAGGTGCTATCAGATGCAGTGCGCCACACGTCTACTTATCGCTTTTACCATTCATGTTCCTATTCCCGAACATGGAAAAGGCTCATAGAGCTTCCTTTGCGCTGACAGCTTCCCCCCACTTCCAATGGCTCGACGAAAATATAGGCGACGAAGGGTATCGACTCGTCGCATGTTCTCATGACAAGCGATCCATTGCGGCGGTCTCGGGAGATTGCAATATCGACGTTTGGAGCCTCCCCGACGGAGAGCCGCAAAGACGACCTGATACTTCACACGGCTCCCCTGGTCGCTTCGTGACCATCACGTTCTCTCCTGACAGCACCTCCATCTGGGCCGCATCGCGCGATGGCACAGTATGGATATGGGAACGTGCCACTGGCCGATACCTCACCCGATGGGAGGGGAAGGCAACCACTCCTCTCGCCATGGCTTTCTCTTCGGATGGACGGTATCTTGCTATCGCATCGAAGCCGCTCGAAGGATATCCCAACTGGTGTATACATCTTTGGGAACTCCCAATCTCGGGTGACACAAGCGTTCATCTCAAGGCCAAACTTCAACTCACTCCGGAGGACATAGATAGGTCTAGCGATGAGCCCGCTTTCCGTATGCTTGAATTCTCCCCTTCTAGCTCTTACATCGTGGTCGGCACGAGTGTCTTGGCGTTGTATGGGTGGGACGTTGAGACCGGTGAACTCTGCCTACAACGCTGGCCGGATTCATTGGGCTTGAAGGACCATTCTATTAATATCACAGCACTCAACTTCCTATCTGACCATGAGATCTTGTTTGGATCACAATGGGATGGGGAACTACGAGTCCTTGACATGAATGCCGGCCAGCCTAGCTCTCATCCGGAGCTAGTGGTTTCCGGCTACGAGCCTGAGACCAAGTTTGTTCCAGGCACTACCACTTCTTACAAAGGCCCTGATGGCACGTTCATGGCCACTGCACTTGTGAGCGGGATCCATCTCTGGAGTATGGGCACGGGAGTCAGCACTAGACCTGATCTTGAGGGTCATGTCGGCCCCTTCGATTTCATCTCTATCTCGAGGGATGGAAGTTACATCATCTCGGGGGCGGGTTCGGGGAATACCGACGGTCTCCTAGATGATAACGTTCTTGATTACTCTATCATTGTCTGGGACATAGATCCAAGCTCAGATAGATGCAGATCAGGTCAGTGACAAACTTCGGCCTGCCTCTAGTATCCACTACTGAAGCTCTATCGCAGCCATGAACAACGACTTTGATCACTTCTATCTCCCTGATCACAACTCTGGATTGCTACAAGGCCCGAAAAGAGAGCTCCTTCTGTACATCCCGAAGAAGTTCCGCCAATATCTCCAGCATCCGCCCATCATCCATCGTTTCGCCGCCGGTCGGCTCACCATCGACTGGACGGATGCCGTGTATGGCGAGGACTGGACGAAGTGTTATATGGGACCTAGGTGAACATGCGGTGTCGCGCGGGATGCATGTCAGTCGAGAAAGGATCGGAGGGGATGTAGGGCGGCGTCGTAGCGTACTATAGGGCAGTGTCAGTATCAGGATTCTGGCATGATAGGGAGAGAAACGCACCTTTAATTTCATTGGTTCGAACCGACGCGAGGAAGCCTATATGAACGGTCGAAGGCGATCGAAGAGCAAAGTTGAAAGCAGCACGTCGCGTCTTCACGCATGATGAATCGCGACCTGTTCCAACGCCTCCTGTTCAATCACGATCAACGCCGTGTTCACACCGCCTACCACGCTTATAGCACGTACAAGGACTCACTTTGTATCCCGGGTACCGTCCCTCGAGTAATCCATCAGATGTCCACGGATGAAGTTGTCCGCCAGTAGCACTACGTGAAGCTCATTAACCATCAGAGCGGCCGTATCGCACGCCGCATCAGGGCTCCGCGTCGAGTATCCACTAAGAGCAGCCATGCACCGAGTATCATGGTCATGTATCTCCAGTCACGCTGGCATGTGCATAGACGTCCCTCTCCTAGACCGCTCGTGAACAAGATCATGGCGGTCTCTCTCCGACGTCGTGCGTTCAATCATGATAAACGCGGTGTTTGATCATGGCGCCAAGGGGCCGCATCGCGCGCTGCATCGGTGCCCCGCGTCGAGTATCCGCTAATAGCAGCCATGTGCCAGGTACTAAATTCCTTCAATTACATAAGCATTCGAGCAGACGTGCTTCTCCTGTATCGCTCTCGGGAGCAGGATGGTGGTAGTCGCGAACGCAGCCGCCGCGCGCGGCGACGCGTTTGAACAACGCGCGTCCGGTCACACCAGTCACAACGCGCCGCCACCAGGCGCCGCGAGCGAAGTATATGTACTGTGGTCTGAAACGATCCATACCGCTGAATTGGGTTTCAAAGGGTGACAGTAGTGAAAGCAAGTGATACAGTAGGTGTACAAGGTACGTATGCGACAACAAGCTCAACGCGCACGACTCTACATCACCAGCCATTCCGTTTCTAGTACTCAACGCACGCACACCACGACCCGCCCATACGCCCCATCATCTCGTAGCGCCCAACCCCAACTTCGTATTCTTAACGACAGCCGTGAACGGCACATCGATCCCGCCCGTCTCGCCCCCGATCCGCACGCCCTCTTCCCACCCCATCGACGCGAGCATCTTGAACCCGATATTCGATTCGCCGATCTTCGGCGCGGCCTGTACAGCGCGTCAGCCTCCCGAACCATGAATAGCGTAAAAGGAATGGCGAGAGACGTACTTTGCCGACTTCCTCTCCTTCTCTGGGCCGCGCCGTCCCCCCTCTACCTCCGCCCTTCCCTC